CTTCCTGAAGATCTTTTGAAGTAGCCGCCACAGAAACATGGCCTCCGGCTCTGGAAATGCCATGCTTTTCTGTGTGATTTTTCTGGCAGTCTGGCAGTCTGGCAGGAGCCTACTTCCATATGTAAATAGGGTATCTCACAAAGTACCTATCAGCTAAAGCTTTTACCACTACCCCCACGGTATAAAATGTCCTGGTTTTCTCTCAATATTGGAGCTGGATCACTAGGAACTAGAGCTGGGACACTGAGACTTGGAGCCAAGCAGAGCCACTTAATAAAGAGCTGTAACACGGAAAGCTGAATCCTGTGTCTCACTGCCTACGATCCAGTCTCTCCAGGGGGCGCTATCCTTCCGTCATCGACTCATGGAGACCTAGCTTTAGCCGCCTTGTACCTCTCCTCGTGACCCGGCAGCTGACGGGTCCCGAATTCAGAGAGAGAGTACACGGGTGAAATTAGGGCGGGACTCGGCCGGGCAAAGCCCCTACAGCAGAGACTTTCAGCACTCAAGCGGCGGACAGCGACGTGGTGCGTGACCAGACCCGCCGACCTTCCAGGTGCACAGCGGAGATGGAGAAGACCGCGAGACCCGCAGTGCCTTTACTAGTGCGCGCAGGGGCCCCGAGATACCTGCCCGCCACATAGGCAGTGTAGAGAACTACATTCAATTATCTAAAAAGCAAGGAACGCAGGGACTCGGCCGGGCAAAGCCCCTACAGCAGAGACTTTCAGCACTCAAGCGGCGGACAGCGACGTGGTGCGTGACCAGACCCGCCGACCTTCCAGGTGCACAGCGGAGATGGAGAAGCCCGCGAGACCCGCCGTGCCTTTCCTGGTGCGCGCAGGGGCCCCGAGATCCCTGCGCGCCCCATAGCCTGTGTGTGGCCCTGCATTAAATACTCGAAAAAGCAAGGAATGAAGGAAAGAAGAAATAAATAAAAGAAAGAAATTTGGCTCCATTACACTTCATATCATAAAGAATTATATCTTATATATAAGAATGCATTTCTGTTTTCAAACAAGGCGGTGACAAAGAGTACTTAAAAGACAAGCATGTTGGTGCATGCCTATAATCTCAGCTCTGGAGAGGCAGAAGCCAGAAAATGAAAATTAAGAATATAAGACTACTCTGGGCCATACAGGAAAACCTAGCAAAACCCTGTCTCAAACAAACAAACAAAAACCAAAAACAAATAAAAAACCCATGAGGGGACTATAGCTTAGTGTGGTCAAGTACTTCACTAGCTAAGAACAGCAACATCACACAGGTTGTAAAGAGCAAGCAAGCCTAATTCAGAATCAACGATGGAAACAAGTATTTTCAGTTTCTTCTTTTGAGTACTGATCTACTTTAATAAAAATAATATTTGATGCATTAAATTAATCTTAATAATTTTAAACATACAGGATTTATTATTTTGTTTTATGGTTTGTGGTGATATCAGCATAAAACTTCTACTTAGATTTAGCTTTATACAATTTTTAGTAATATCATAAAAACAATGCAACCAGCAGTAGGGTTTTAAGAAAGTTATATTTATCTAAATGGCATCCAATTATTAGTCAAGTTTGAGAAAAGACTGTTATAGGTAACAAGTTAGAAAGTGACCATAAGATGCATTAAATGTATTTGGACACACACACAAAAAAACAAAACAACAACAACCAGAAAACCACCATGACAAGCAATATCTACTAAGATCATGGTGTTTTTGTTTTCATTAATGTTGCCATCCTGCAAATTGTTTATATAGAACATTATCTTTGACCCTATTATCAATAGAGCCAAATACATAGGCTTAAGTCAGAGGTCAGCAATTACTTTTCTACAATGGTCAAATAGTATGAATTTTTTGTTTTTGTTTTTTTCTGTTTGTTTTATTTTGCTTTTTGTTTTTCTTAGACAGGGTCTTCTGATAGCCCCAGCTGGCCTGAAACTCATTATGTGGACCAGGCTGCTCTTGACCTCAAAGAGATCCAGCTTTTCTGCCTCCCAAGGAGTGGAATTAAAGGTATGGGCCACGATGCCCAGCTCAAACAGTAAGAATTTTATGTTCTGCAATTTACTGCAGTTTTTTGCAAGTATTCCTCTCAACTACATGGTAGCACAAAGGCAGCTATGCACAATACATAAATGAATGTGTCTATTTTCCAATAAAACTTTATTTACCTAAATGTTTAGCAGGATATAGTGACCAATTATTAACTAATGTGAAACCCTTTTTGCTTTATGTTGATAATTCAGATGGGAAACTAACTTACCCTTAGTGTTACAAAAGAAAAATCCCAATCTCTCAATTTCCTCCTACTTCCCATGCCCCCCCCCACCCTGCTACCACCACTACTACAGTAGTAGGGACTGAACACAGGGTCTTGTGTACATGAGGTAAGCATTTGACTACTATACTATATCCCTAGCCTTCAACTTCCCTGTTTTCATAAAATCATGACCTAAACATGAACACTTTATTCCTATGGGTGACTAAGAATCCCTTTATCTAGAAAACTAATACTTCTGCTTCTATTGAAAATGTATTTCCCTATCTTATTATTTCAAATTTACTGCTTTGTACCATATATTTAAATTTGTTAAGTGACCAGGTGTGGTGGGTTTGGATGAAAACTGTTCATATATTTGAACAGTTGTTCCCCAAGTGGTGGTGTTGTTTGGGAAGGTTATGGAACTTTTAGGACATGGTGCCTTGCTGGAGGAAGTACGTCACTAGGGGTGGACTTTGAGAGTTTAAAGTCTCACCCCCAAATCCAGTTTGCTCTCTTTCCTCTATGCAGCCGAGAGGTTGAGGTGTGATTAATCTTCCAGCTTCCTGTTCCTGCTGCCATACTTTCTCTGCCCAGGAACCATAAGTCTAGATAAATTCTCTCTTCTATAAGTCGCATTTGCTCATAATATTTTATCATAGAAACAGTAAAGAAACTAATACATGTATCAAAAGGTGACTGGTTTCTACAGCAACTAAAGGAAATCTAGCTAATCATTTATAATATTACACATGTATTCTCATAAAATCATACTTTTCTTAATTTTTTGGCATATTGAAATATACCTTAATTTTTAGAATCTGTGTTTGGGGAGGAAAAGGGGCTCATCAGGAATATTGCAAATTCCCCAGTACTCAGCAATTCTTTCATAAGCCATGCCATAATTACTTGGAGAATTTACACATTTAACTGGGACTAAAGATTACCTGGATTTTTACTAGCAGAAAGACAAGAGTATTTTCTTACCCACCACTGCTTCCCAGTGCTTGGCGAGAGCTGAGGTAATAGGAAGGAGGGAGACAGTACCAGCTTTCCTCAGGAGTGTGACCAGAAGGTCAAATAAATGTGTCCATGTCTGATAAAAAGCCAATACTAACTGTACATCTATAAAATTAATCAAAACATTTCAAGTTATTAACATGAAGAGAACTTTTCAAAAATATTCACCACTGATACTTTATTACACTCACAGTATGAAGTACAGGCATGCCAAATAAAAATGCTACAGTTGGACATTATCCAAGTCATTTCAATTAACTTCTCTTTTAGACTTTTAAAGTTGTCTTCCCTCCATCCTTCTACATACAAACCTTCCTTTTACTAAAGTATGCTCAGCAATAATAAGAAAGTGCGACCCAGTGAATATAAGCTTTAACATCAGAACTACATAGTATGCACATTATAAAAACAAGACATTGTGCTACTCCTGTAAAACAAAGTTTTCTCTTATTTTCTTTCTTCCTTCTGGCAGTTTTGTGCAGGGATGAAAAGGAAAGCACAATGTGCCAAGGTCAAGGCAGAAGAGAAAGAAAACCTTCTTTGAAGAACCAAGCAGAGAATTAACCCACAAAGAAAACTGATACAGAAGAAGGCTCAGTACTCCCGCCTGTGCTGCCGGCAGAGTACAGGAGGCAACTCCGCACAGAGGGACACAGGGGAAACGGAAGCTGGGGCACAGAGGCTGTCTTGGTTGTCTCTCTGGTCATGCATCAGCAGTTTTGTCATTTTTTAAACAAACTCACTAAAGTAAACTAAGGACCTCCATCCTGGTGTTCCTCAGCATCAGTGGGTGCTTTGGAGAAAACAATTTCCAAGGACTTGGGCCACAGTCTGTTTTATCTTCTCAACCACTCTGTCATTATGGCTCTCTAAGGACTTTTTAAGATGCTTTCTAATGGCCATTCCCATAAAATTTTAATCCCAAAGATATACTGTGCATACAAACACATACACACACACACACACACACACACACACAGACTTACATTTACTGTATGCTTTTCTGTATTATCTCTAAGGAAACCTAAGTATAAAAAGTCTATTCTTTTTATTCAATAAGGCCTTAAGAATGATAAAATATTTAAGCTGAAAAGTAAATAAAAGTTAAAATGCTATGAACTTCATTTACTATACTTGCTGAAAAGATTTAGTAGAATTCACTTATCTATATTATAAGGTATTGTTTATCTAAATTAGCAATTCCTATAAATGCATAAGAGTAATATAACCAATTTTTAATAAAAATTCAAAACATATTTTCTCAGGAAACATAACTTAAAAATACTTACCTTAAAATACATTTTAATGAACATTTATGTATTTGCTAGATACCAGAAAATACTTAACTGCTGGATGTATATTCAGACATTACTAATAATTTTTTTCTTGTACTACTTTCTGTAGTTACTCATATATTAAGCAATTCTTATATTAAAAACATACACTATTTTACTCAATTTTCAAAGTCCAAATCAAAAAAGCAAGAGGAAGAAGAACAATTATTTATAAGGCAGCCACTAACAGGCAAAATGCCCCCACCACCAATCGTCATGTGACTGTGTGAACAGGTGATTCCTCACCTATTTATCACAGTTTGTAGAACTAAACTTGCATACATCCTGTGTATCTTCACGAACTCAATGTCAATATTTCTTAGGCGATATCCAAGAAAACCCAACATAAGAAATTACTGAAATGAATTTACAAGGTAAAACTGAGCTCTGATGACTATGGACCATTGTATTGGTTAAGTTTTCTTTCTTTTTTTTTTTTTTTTTCTCCTCACCTCCTTCTCCAGGTTTCATCCTTTGTTGAGACTGCATAGAGTACCCTAATAAGATTAGTTAGACTACTGCTGCCAATAATAGAATTTCCAAGTATGGAATTACTGTTCTCAAGCACTGGGATAATTTTAACAGATACTGAAGACCCAGAATGCTCTGACTCCATTTTGGCTAGCTTCTTTAGACAAGCCCAGACAAGCTCAGGCATAGTGTACATGTAAAAGCCTTATAAGGTTACTGGGATGGTATAAGGTTAGCATATACTTTTCTTCTTGGATTGATAATATGCCCTGAAGACAGCCCCTACCAATCAAGACTTTCCCCTTTCCCCGTACACAGGATATGGGGACATCCAATTATTTTAAAAAATGCTTGGCGTGCGTGGGTTTCTGTGGAGTGCCCCAATAAAAGCTCCTGCTTGCTATTGTTCGGGGCCAGACTCCATCTTTGGCTTGTGAGGTCTGTGCCCGGCTAGCCGCCATTTGGTTGTTGTCCTTTTTTACTTTAAATTCTTGAATAAACTTTTTGTCTAATCTTTTTGGGTATCTGTGGGAATTATTCTCGAACCCTAACAATACGATGGTGAGGACTAGCTTTGCTAGGTATCATGGCACCTTTCACTTTTGATATCTAAAACACAAAGCATAGGCCCACAACTAAAAGGACTCACTAAGGATGAACTGAAGCCAGGCCTGGTGATGTAGCTCAGTAATCGATTACTAAGATACTTGAGAGGCTGAGGCAGGAGGATTGCAAGTTGAAGCCCTGCCTGGGCTACTCAGTTCAAGCCCAGTCTAGGTAACTTAGCAAGACACTATCTCAAAAAAAAAAAAAAAAAAAAAAAAAATTTAAAAAGGTTGGAGCTATAACTCAATGATAAAGTGCTTGCCTAACCTGTGTAGGACCCTAGACTCAATCCCCACTACTGTGGCAGGGTAGGGGGTGATGAATGAATACACAGAAAGGCAAATCAAATGATCAGTCATTGTATTATAAACTATGACTTAAAATAATAAAAAATCATATTCATACATTGTATGTATACACACACACACACACACACACACACAGAATCCAAGGTTTCACACAAGCACTGTGCTAGTCTCCCTGTATTTGATTTGTTTCAATTTTCTCTATTACCAAGTACTATATTCAACTTTCAACCTAAAATAGTTCCCAATACATTGAGATCCTCTGAAATTTTTGATATTATATGCTAGACTGGCTTAAACCTATGACTTAAATGGCTTATTAGTAAGGCCATTTTGTCTTAGCCACAATTGATAAGACTAGTACCCAGAACTCACTGCAGTCTCTAGCATGTATTTCAGCTCACAGATGGCGATGGTCCTTTTTTGCAGTACTCATCTGCCTTAAATGATCTCCTGGAATCACTTCAGACTGATTTACAATAAAACATATCATCAAAATCTCCGCAAAAACTTGTGGAAAAAAAACCCGAAAAACAAAAAAGAACTCAATGTGGAGCTAGGTATCACAGTAAGATTTGTTCCCTCAATATTGTTCATTGGTCACATAAACTAAAAAACTAACGCTTACCTAATACATCTTTGATGCACACAGTGAGAACTCTAGTGACATTGGTGATAAGAGTTTTCAAGAGGTGATCCTGTGTTACAAGGTCAGGATCTACCAACAGACAAGACTGAAGAAGCCGGGACAGAGATGACATGTATTCCAGGAAAAAGGAAACCTGTTTGTAAAAGGAGATGAAATAAAACAACAGATTACACTTAAAGCCCAACTACTGGCATGGTGTTTTACTTTTCTATGTATTATAAGGAACCATCTCTCTGTAAGGTAAGTTTAACAAAGCACTAATAAAGTATCAAACATAATTATGTGCTATAAAATTAATAGCAAACAAAGCATTATTTTTCCACTGTTATAAGCATGTCATTAATGGTCACATTGGTGCTATCGGGTATACGAGTGCCAAACAAAGCTGAATTTTAAAAATTGAATTCTGCAGTTCATTTAAAGGAAACCTTCATATTTTTAAAGTATCTAAGTTGTAGAACCAATATTCTAAAAGTATAGAGGGTATTTAAAATGATACTATGCACCAGTTTATAAAGAAAAATTACAAAAATATTCCTCAAAGTACACATGTGTAGAAGAAAATAAAGCTATAACCCAGTTATTGCTACAAATAAAATACATTTTTGCTTTTAGTTGTCCTTCAATATAAAATATATTCTTAAATAGAAGAGAAAAAAATCAAATCTCCAGTATTAACAATAAAACCATCTCTTAAATTTTCCTAATGCTAATATTATAATACCTGGCAGTCCTTTCAAAAAGACCTCTGGATGTCAAGAATAAGCTGCAGTATTTGTGTAGTGGCTATTCTTAAGCAATGAGAGTCTATACAAGTGAATTCTACAGAGATATTCCGAAGTCAGTTTCCCTCTGAGTACACTAATCTTAGTGAAGTCTAAGAGAATAAATAAGAGCTAGGAACTATCCTCCATTTGTGGAAGGGTGCATGCCTCCACAGTGTCTGGTCCCAGACTATTCCAAAATACATTTTCTATCCTTCCTCTGCTAATGTGAGTATGCTCTTTATTGGATTTGCTAGGTAGAAAGTTAGATGTGCCTCTATCCTTCACAAATTCCTTATACAATTTTTGAAATTAGTGGCCTGAAACTCACTAGGTAATAGAGCTTTAGCTTCTGACCCTCCTACCTCCATCTCTCAAGTGCTGGAATTTCAGGTGCCATGAGATTTAGCTTTGGGAAGTCTTTTTGATCTTTTCATCTTCTACTCTAAGTTACAGCATGTCCGATCCCTGAGTATCAGAAGTATTACCATAAATAAATAAACCATGCAAGGTGGGAATCAGTCAGAAATGTGAAAAACAAAAGTTAAGCTTGAATTCTTTAGTAAACTAATAAATTTAAGATTAAATAAAATAGGGCTGGAGAGATGGCTCGGGGTTAAGAACACTGGCTGTTCTTGCAGAAGACCCGGGTTCAAATCCCAGCACCCACATGGCAGCTAACAACTGTCCCTAACTCCAGTTCCAGGGTATCTGATGGCTTCTTCTGTCCTCCGTGGGCATTGCATGACACGGTTGCACTTACCTACATGCAGGCAATACACACAAAAAAATAAAATAAATAAAATATTTTTAAAAAGATTAAAATATTGACATCATTCATAAACTGACTTTTGTCTATGTAAGACACTCTTTAAAAACAAGAACAGAAAATAAAAAACCCTTAAAATGTACCAATCACAAACTCCAACACATTTGTACCTACAGCTGACTATAACCTCACTATCCAGCATTATGTGCCAGGCTCTGCCCCAGAGACCCTTGAGTTTCCCTTTTCATTCCAGGTCTCTGCTCAAATGTTATCTTCTATTGACTTTTCTGACCACCCTATTTATATCAGTTGTTCCCCATGTGACCCACCCTTTTATCTAACTTCATTTTTTTTCCCATACCACTTGTCACTATTATACAATACTTAACATTTTACTGTCTTCTCCCCTAGAAAAAACTCCATGTGGGCAAAGATGTTTTGCTTTTTATCAAGAGGAACTATAGCAGAATATGGTACACATTAAAAGAATTTTCTGGAAAGAGTGAAAGATCTTATACAAGTAGTAATAGCCAAGACGCATTTATTCTACAGTACAGACAGCACGGTGCATCAGAGTGTGATCTGGAACCAACCTGCATGGTCAACTTTCCTTGCTCTGCTCCAATTGTGTGAAATTCCTCAATTTCAATAATTTCCTTTACAACATGATATTTCACTAATGAGATTTCATATGATTTCTTGTGAGGAATACATTAACCCAGACAAGCCACACAGTGGTTTCTTGCTGCTATTATGGCATTGTTCTGTATATTCAGGACACAATAGCAAATACAACAGCAGGCAAGGTCCTGCCCTCACTACTGACTGTGCCCTCTAGCCTCATCTCCGCCACAGATTCAGCTCCATCCATTCTGGCCTCCCAGCTGCTTCTTGGAAGACCAACCACGCTGTGATCCCAGGGGCCTGCTAGACTACAGGACCAGGTTTCTTCACCACAGATCACACATCATTATAGGAAAGGTCACCCTAAGTAGAACAGGTTTCTGCTTTAATCTCTGACACTGTCCCCCGCTTTAGTTTATCTTCTGAATGATTATTCCCTTAGGCGTATATAGACTTGTTCATTATCTATCTATTTTCCTAATATGAGGGAAAAGTTCTTTGTTTTGATGCCTTAAGGAAGATCCTGGATCAGAGAAGGCACTCAGTGATGATTTTCCAAATGCACCAACAAAAGAGAAGAGGGAAGAGTAACTTGCGAAAAAGCATATTCAAACGAAAGTATTGCACTAGAACATGTGTTTTGGGGGGACCATGCATAGTATTCCCAGGATTTGTGATGAGGGTCTTCCGTGTTCACACAGCTTAACACAAAAGGAATGGGTCTGCTCCACTTCACATTTACCACCTCCCAATAAATCCTAGCATGCTAAAATTTGATCTTTAAATAAAATTTCTAGTAGCAACAACAATACTGAAAATTGCTGAGCATATTTTATATAGAAAACTTAGGTAATAACCACAAATATAGTAACCATGTGTGAAAGAAAAGGTTCAAATTATTTTTATCAAATTGTTTTGAAAATACAAATAATTTAATCTAAAAACTTCAGCTATGGTGAAAATAACAGAACAGAGACAGCCTCAAATCATAGGAGTAAGAGAGCTACACCACTGTCTTCTTTATACAGTAGTGCTCAAAGAAACTTGATTAAACATTTATAGCTGATTAATGATGAGGTCAAGAATAGGATCCACTGTTCTTCCATCCAAAGATGTTTCATATTAAAATTAAAAATTTAAGCAATGTACTTCAAATAAGTTCATCTTACCACACATACCCTGGGAAATGTTCTCCCTTTTCCTACAGTTACATCTTCGTGAAAGAATTTATGGATTTGGCTCAGGAACCCAAGGCACAAGGTGAGAGGCAATCCTGAGATGCTTACCTGAGCCTGAGCATGTTCAACTGGAGAAGATGAGGGCAGTGGAGTCTTGAGTTCCTGGATACACATCTCTATGAGCAAAGCATCCAGAGTGCTGGCAAGGACAAAGAAAGGACCCCTTCAGATGGCTACTCTGCTTCTTAAAGATGAAGCAGAATTTGAAGTTTCAAGGTAAACCGGAATATAAAGAAAAAGATTCTTACAAGTAAAAAAAATAAATAAATAAGTCTTCTCAGAATATTTCAAAGAATAGGAAAATATCTTGTTAGTAAATGAGAAAAGCAAAGAATTCTGAAGTGAAACCACAAATGATTTTGTTTCAGTTCTTTTCTTAATACCCCAAAAGAAAAGGTGGTATGATTTGGCACAGAGAGGGAAGACAACACATGGGTTTAAAAGAAAGTAAGCACACTGTGCTGGAGTAGGTAGACATCAGGAAGAAGAGAGAAGTAACATTTACTGCACATAAGGGAGTGAGTGGACGCCATCACTTTAATCCTTATACTGACCCCTGGTGCTAACAATGACTCTCAGGAGACTAAATGATGTTTCTAACACTGTAACACTTCTGAAGGAATGAACTAAGTTTTAGATTGGCCTGAATTCAGTAGGCAAGCCTTTTCTATTATACTTTGTAAATGATCAAAAAAAGAAAATCTGAGTTTCATCAATACTATGAAAATGAAATCAAGTCATTGTTTCCTTAAATGCTATCAGAATTTTTCTGATAAGTTTAGCTTCCCATAACAAAATACATCCAAATAACATTCAACAGTGATTTTCAACCTGGGAACATTATCCTAATATTTTATTAAAGAATAACCAAAGTGATTAAACCGTACTCCCTGAATGTGCTGTAGGACAGACAAGGATTAGAACCATTTGAATTTAAAAAATAAATAAGTCTTTTGGCCTTAACAGTCAAGATAACCCAATACATGTATATTAACGGACCTGGGGTATAGAAAAAAAAAAAAAAACAACAACTATGACTGTGGTCCCCAACTATGAGCCACGGTTCCACATTCCTCCAGTGGTAGGCTGCTGGTAGAGCAGATTCTCTGGAGAACTACATGTTGGGCAGCAGTTTCAGTCTTCTCTGAATGGCAACATTACCCACAAACCCATCCCCTGAGATCCCAGGTTGTGCATGGAAGTAGCTTTATCTCTATGTTGGATTTATGCTGGGGACAAGGGAGGTCTCTGTCATTTTCAGTTTCTAATCTTGGGAAGACTGATTCTCAAGAATGTACTTCCCACCTCCCTTGATGGCCAGCTACGGTCTTGACTCCACACATGGTCCTTGGCACCCAGGTCTCGACACTGGACCTTTCCTATTCTCAGGCACCAAGAGGTTTTCCACCATTATTTTTTACTCTTCTACAGCCCCAGTGTACATTCACCTACAGAAAATGTAAAATATCCAAATGAACTTCTAGAGATAAATTCACAGACTGGAAAGTTTAAAAAAAAAACAAATAAAACTGTGAAGACAACTGTAGCAAAAGCAAAAACCTGGAGTTTAGTAAGTTCTCAGACAGAATATACTCCCAAGATATGCGGTCTTTATCAATTCAGAAATATAACTTATGTTGATTCATCACTATTACCATGGCTTTCTTGGAACATTTATCTCTTACCTACAGAGAAGCTCTATGAGATGGGCTTGTCGAAAAGCATTTGCAGCATCTCTTGACATGATTATCAAGAGGTTGTCTAAGAGGCTACAGATTGCTGATAGAAGAGGTGGGGTAACAAACGCATACTGCTTGGGCAGGTGAGCAGACAGCGATGAGTCACGAGGAGGCCGTGCTGGTGTAGCTTCATGCTGACCTATTATTGTTAGTAAGCATAGACATTAGTATTTAACTTACCTGGTGGTTATTCACAATATTTATAAATTCTCAGAATGAGAGGTAAGTTTTTAAAGATGAGGATGGGTGGTTAGTTAATTCTCAGAGCTGCAAAGCTCACCTTAACCCTGAGGGCAGGAAGTTAGACTGCTCCTTCTATTCCTTACCTCCATCTTCCATTCTGTTTTTGTGTATGTGTGTGTGTGTGTGTGTGTGTGTGTGTATGTGTGTGTGTACACTTGCACATACACATTTACATGGATGAATGTGTATGTCCTGGGATAGAGTAAGAAGAACCAAGGCAGTAAGGTCAAAACACAGCTTTGTATCTCTCACATGCAGACACAGAAACAAATATGGGTCCACAAGACTTTTTCTTAAAATGCTAGGTGCCAGAGCATTTCAAAACTCCAAATTCTTTTGGGTTTTAGAAGAGCAGTAAGGTATAATACATTGTAAATCTTTCACCACCTCCACTGGGATCCTGACAGCATCCTACGATGAACTATTTCTGTAGAGCAACAAGCACACACTTGCAACAGGGTGAAGAAAGCAGTACCAGACTTCAAGTCAATGGTGCTCATCAGCTGTTCAGCTTAGATACCTGTTGACTTCTGAGAAAACTTAGGTTCCAGAAATTGTGAATTTTAGGAATTGTGAGCCTTTCCTAGCAATCCCTAATCTGGCTCAACACATTTCCTTATTACTCTCACCCTTTATTTCTTTGGAGACAACATTAGATTTTTAATTCATTCAAATTTAGGAAAAAAACGTGAGTACAAAGAAATCTGAGTTAAGAATTATTTTGTCATATTTTATTTATCTATCTACATGACCTGGAACCTACTGAGTTGTTTATAATTCACAGATAAATAATCTTCCTTACTTCTAAATTAATTTTCTAAAAACAGTGATACTGTCTTTTATTACTACAGCCCTATTAGTAAAATCAGGAAACCAACACTGATGCTATAGACCTTTTCTAAATTTTGCCAATAATCCTACAAATGTTCTAGATAAAAGAAAATAGTACTTTTGAACTTATTGGACTATTTCTGCACTAATTAACCTATTTCTGCTTTCTTAACTAGAAGAGTTCCTTGGTATTGCTTTGTCTTTCCTGACCATGACAATTCTGTGAGGAACCTTGCAGAACCTATCTGAGGTTTGTTCACAATCAGATTCTCAGTGCATTATCAGGGGATAGGACTCATATTTTCTCATTATTAGAAATAATAATTTTAACCATTCAATTAAGGTAGTGTTATGTTTTTAATATGAAATGTCTACCAAAGGTTCATGTTTTAAAGCATAAATCTCCAAGTGGTAGTAGTATTTTCATAAGTTCTGGAAACTTTTTAATATTTTATTTATTATTTTATTCTATGTGTATGAGTGCATTGCCTGCATGTACAAAAGTATACCTGTGTCATGCAGTGCCAGAAGAGGGCTGAAGAGGGCATCAAAATACCCTGGAACTGGAGTAATGTATGGTTGTTAGCCCCCGTGTGGGTGCTGGGATTCAAACTTGCATCCTCTGCAGAAGCAGACAGTGCTCTCCGCTGAGCCATCTCTCCAATTCAAAGTTCTGGAAACTTTAGGAGGTGAAGCCTACTTGAGGAAAGGTCACTGGGGTGAGGGACAGGAGGGTCTTTGGGGGTATCTGCTCCCTGTCTCCATTGCTATTGCTGGTCTGTCATGGTGTAAACAGCATCTACCATACAGTCCACTATGGTATGGAGCTGTACAATCAGCCCACAAACAAACCAGGTGGCCATGAAGTGAAACCTCTGAAATAGTGGGCCAAAATAAGTCATTCATTCAATTAGGTTTCTAAGATACTCTGCTTGCTGTGACATAAAAGTTACTAAGACAAGTCGTACCTACCAGATTTTTCAACTGTAAAATTCTATTTCTTTTCATGCTAAAATGGCTAGCAAATGGTAATTTTCTCATGCCATCAATTCTTTATTATTTTAGTTGACTTTCTAAGAACATGGAAGAACACGGCTGTGGTGGCTTAAATGCTAATGTTCCCCATAGGCTCTAAGTCTTTGAACACTTGCTCCCCAGTTTGTACACTATTTGGGGAGCACAGAACCTTTAGGAGATGTGCCTTCCTATGCTGCAGGAAGTATGTCACAGGGGGTGGGCTTTGAGAGTTCTTAAGTCTTGCTGGATTTCCGGTTTCGCTCTGGTTCCTATGCCTGCTAGAAGATGTGAGTGCTTAGCTTTCTGCTCCAGCCATCTCTGCCAACATCCCTCCTCACCATGATGGACTTTTACCCCTCTGGAACCATAAGCCAAATAAACTCTTCTTTCTAGAAGTTGCTTTGATTATTATGGTGTTTTATCACAGCAAAAGAATACCAAAGTAACTAATACCATTTCCCTCCCATCATGTATTCATTTTACTCTAATTCAAGCATTCTTTTTTTTTTCTTTTTAAATGTGTATGCATGTATTGCCTGCATGTAGGTAAGTGCACCCATGTCATGCAATGCCCACAGAAGAGGTTGTCAGATCCCCCAGAACTGGAATTATGGACAGTTGTTAGCTGCCATGTGGGTGCCAGGATTTGAACCCAGGTCTTCTGCAAGAACAGTCAGTGTTCTTAACTGCTGAGCTATCTCTCCAGCCCTAATTCAAGCATTCTTAATCTCTGTATTACACTCTAGTTGTTTTGTGTTTCCATTATTCCAGGAATTGGCCCCTTCAACAGGAATCCTATAGCCCTTTATTGTGTGTCCAATTAACCTTTGTTGCTCCAGGGTCATATTAGTCTCTCCTCTACCAAACCCTGAAATCAGACATTTGTTCCAAAGAATTCTGATTCTGCAAAGAGGAAAATGGGATTCAGAAGCAATTAAGTAAATGTATAAGTTACTAATTAGTGTGCCATTATTTCTGAGACAGGAAATGCCTTTGTGTGTATGTTATACACATGCTTGCATACACATATATTTGAACACATACACACTTATGTATCTATGAATCAATGAAAAGCTAATTCATACCGAGAGCTCCAATTCTCATTTAACTTCACAGGGTCCATTAACACCTTTACTCCTTCAATATTTGCAATTCATTACATGAAAGTAAGCAACCTGGCTTTTATCATCTAGTGTCTATTTAGTTGTCCAGTTTCACAAGCACCTTAAGACATTTTCAGATTGGTACTTTGCACTAGTGCAAAGAGCAAAACTAGTAACATGAGTTCAATGCTTGCTTACAGTTTTCTTTGCCATTAAGTCTGAGGGTCTCAACATTCAACTAATTTCTTACTCACATCAATGTCACTCATGTGAAATGTAGCTAGATGAACTTTATATTCTACACTGTTTTTCCATCTTTGTCAATTGAATTTTCCTTTGTAGCACACAAAACATAAAACATAAGGTTATAAAAACCCTACTAAAGCTGGGTATGGGAGGTAGGTAGATCTTTGTGAGTTCCAGGCCAGCCTGGTCTACAAAGTGAGTTCCAGGCCTGCAGGGGAACCCTGTCTCAAAAAGAATCCCTCCTCCCCCAAAAAGGACCTTACTGAAGGAGGCAGCAATGAAGAGTGACTATGCCCAGAGCCCAAGTCCAGTCCCTTCTTCCTTTCTCCTGCCCATTACTATGTATTTCCTCCCTGACTCTCACTTACCCTGTAACTAAGCTTCCTCTGATTTCTTTTACAGCAAAATGAGAAGAGATATGTATTTTCCAAAATTTCTTCTTCTTTGTCAAACACCAAAAAGTAGAAATCTACAAATACTACATAAGTATACTTTTAAGCACACATATAGTTATGTTATGTGTGATGCATGGGTACACATGCCCACTTATGCACATGTGGAGGCCAAAGGTCTAGGCTGGGTGCCCCCCATCCATTGCTCTCCACCTTATTTTTTGAGACAGAAACTCTCACTTTAACTGAACCCACCAGTTTGGCTAGATTGGCTGGTCAGTGAATCCCAGGATCTGTCACTGTCCCCTTGCCCCTCCACCCCAGAACTGCGGTGACAGTCATGTGCCACCATAGCTTCTTATTGTTGAGTACTAGGGGTCTGAACTCAGTTCCTCATGCTTGCACAGCAAGCACATTAAGCATTGAGCCATCTCTGCTGGGTAATATGCCTACTTAACAGTTCTTAGGAATTACTATTTAACAATTTGAAAACATCCTTCCCATTATGTTTCAAGAAAGGAAACTTTTATTCAAATTGTGATGAAATACAGATGCCATAAAAATTAATACCTTAACCAGTCTTGCTCCCATTTCTTAATAGCTGTATAGTCCTTCATTGTGTAGACATTTACTTAAAAATCACTCTCCTGCTTATGAGATTTGATATATTTTTTAATTATAAATGCTGCATTAAATAATCATGTGCATATATATTTTCATATTTTCAGAGATAAGTCATGAAGAAATTCCTATCTATAAGACAAACAAATTTATGGATTTGTTAGATATTGCTAAGTTTTCTTCAAAAAGTATTATTATCAACTGTATCCCCTCTTAACAATCTTTAAGTGTTTGTTTTCCATAGTCTGGCCAGTAGGATGTGCTGCCAATGCTTTTTAATAGCTGCCAATTCAGTAGATGAGAATATCACAATGTGGCACTGATTTGTACTCATCAAAGGCAGGGTTACTCCTATCTTTGTGAACATCTGACTCATGTCTCTGCTCACTTTTACATGAGGTTTAGAGTTTTTTCTTCCTTAAGTACTAAAAGTACTTTATATACTTTTATATCTTCATTTGTGAACTATGTCGCAAATAGTTAGGTTGGTTTGTCAGTATTGCTTTGCTTTATGGTATTTTGTGCCATCCAAGTTACTTTTAATTAAATGTAAAATACATCAAGTATTTTTTGTTGAATTTGGACTAAGGCAAAATTTGAAAGTCTCCCTCTATGCTTAGTTTTATGAGGTATCCATCCATGTTCTTTTCCTAGAATTAGTATGATATCACTTTTCACTTCAGAACCCAGATGACTCTTGTGCAGTATGTGAAATATACATCTAATCCATCCTGTTCCAGTGGCTAGCCTGTCTCCAGCACCATCTATCCGAAGAACAATGACTTATCCAAGGATCTGATGTGCCACTTTAATTACGTAGGATACATTCTCAATTCCATTTCTTTTTCACTGCTAGTAATAAACTCATTTAATTACGTTTTTCAATGTGGTTTGATATTCAGTAGGGCTTGTCTCCTTTTGTAGTATTTTCCAGGGTACTTCTGCATACTCTTTTTTTTTTTTCTTGTGAATACAATCTTGTTCACTATGGAAAAACTTGGTGATATTTTTATTTGGAATGTATATAATTTATAGGTTACCTTATAGGAAACTGATAGCTTTTTGATGTTGAGCTTTCCTATATAAAGATGAAGGATATCTTCTTATTTGCCCACATCTATTTTTGTGGGTTTGGGGAATATTTTTAAGTTTTCCACCCCATAAAATTTGTAGGGGCCAGCAAGAAGTCTCATTGGGTAAAAGCACTTGCTGCCTAGCCTGAAGACCCAAGTTCAAGTCCCAGGACTCACATGGTAGAAAGAGAACCAACCTCCACAAGTTCAAGTGTGCTCGGACCTTCATATGCATGCTGTATCATGTATAAACACACACACACACACACACACACACACACACACACACACACATACACTAAATAAAAACGTAAAAATAAAGAGCCAATAATATTTACATATTTCTTATGGTTTATGCCTTTCTTTTTATCTTCTTTGTTGCTATTATAGATGGTCTTCTCTACATCATGCTAAGTACTTACAGGGACATGTAAGATTTACTCATTTCTGTGTATTTTATGACATTCTACCTTAGTGATTTTTCACCATTTAAATTAGTTTTTCATTAATTCTTTAGAGATTTGTAGGCATACAATATAAAAAAATCAATTAAGTATTTTCTATAATTAAGCCCTTTATTTAATAACATAAATTACTATAATCTAAGGTGGGCCACTGATTAGAATATTATTGGACCAAATATTGCAATGAAAAGTCAAATTTCAATTAAGCAAGTTTTTCTAGGAACAATTTTCTCTGTATATTTTATATATCAGTGTTTACAATTTCATTTTGGAAAACATATGCCTTTCAGGTCAGAAATTTAATGCTACTAAATAAGGCTTACATATTCTATAGACTTAAAAGATGAATTACAAATTTCAAAATAAACACAACTTAGAGCAGAGTTGAATGAATAAACTGTTCATAGTGTATTTCCAGTAATATAGAAACCTACAGACTGTGCCTTTCACATGGACATAGAGCCTTAAGAACACTTCCAACCACAACCTCTCCACTTTCAAGTCATTTACTGTATTTCCCAAGACAGGGCTTTTAAAAAATGGAACGAACTAATATCCAAAGTTCCCTGATTCAAATACTAAGCATCTAGGCTCAACTAACAAGGAGTCATATGGCCATCAGACATCTCGATAGCCAAATTCTTTTTCAGCTCAGAGCATTTCTTTTGTTAATTTCTGATATATTTGTTCTAAATTATAATCTCATGTTCTGTGATTTATTTAACTAACAACTTGTTCTCTAGACGTTTTCTTTCAAAATGCATGGACTCTTCTTTTCTTTTCTAGCATAATGCCTTCCTTAAAGAAAAGCATACCTTGAGAGTGAGCTAGACCTGAGTTCAGATTCCCATCACCCACGTAAAAGCTGGGCATGGCAGCACACATCTGTAACCCTAGTACTAAGGGATCAGAGACAAGCAGACCATTGGCCAGTCATTGATTCTAGAGTCAGTGAGAGACCTTGTCTTGGAAGAAGTGGAGAGCAGCCAACGAAGTTATCTGATGTCAACCTCTGGCCTACACAGACACACAGACACAGACAGACAAGACAAGACCCACCCCCAACACACACAAAACAAAATAAAAATACCTTGAGCTTCAAACTGGTTAAGAGAAGTTTCAGGGAGAAGTGTCACTGACGGCATAAGTGGCTGAAATTCAGCGCTCCCGGCTGAGGCTGCCACCTGAGCATAAAAGAACTGTTTTTAATTATTAATGTTACAACATAGAAAACAAAACATAAACAGCATAGATACAAGATATCCTTAAATAAGAAAGCTTAAAATAAATTTCACTGGTTGCATAACTAGAAACACTCTAGCTCTTGAGTTACAGTAAATTTCTGATAATGTACTTTCTATGATTTCTTACAGGAACTGTTACAGTTTACATAAATCAGTAACTCAGAGAAATCATGTTTTGATAATGAAGTCCACTTAGGATTTTAAGCTTCTTATATAACCAACTTGTGGCTCTCAGGACTCAGGCTCTCACTTCTTTTACTAAAATTGTTTGAGGGCTTTTTGTTTTGTTTTTCTGATTGAGGCAGGGTCTTGCTGTAGCCACAGCTAGCCTGGAACTTGCTATGTAGACCACGCTGGCCTCAATCTCACAGAATTCGCCTGCCTCTGTATCCTGAGTGCTAGGATTAAAGGTGTATACCACCATGCCTTGCCCTAATTTTTTTACATTTCTTGATTCATAATAAAAGGTTCTTTTTCCAATGTCTCAAATGGTACACTTAAGCTTTAATAATGTATGTAAAATATAAGAACTGAAATAATTTTCCTCTACCTTGTCTCATATCAGAAAACTTGAAAAAAAAAAACTTGGCAAAATGCTGATAATGTGTTTCAGAAATCAACATTTTTAAAAATATTAAAACAAATAGCATTGCTGTAGAAAGTAAACACAACTTCACCTACAGGTTTATAGATGAGTAGGCTGTGTGGCCTTTTTAAAATTAAATGCACTCAGGTTGGTGTGTCTGGCACTGCTTATGTGAAAAACACCTTCTCTGGAAGATGAGATACTTTTTTTTCTTGCCATCAATTCTTTTCTCTGTGAGAGGGCATGAAGGGCCCACACCTGGGGAGCCTGTCTGTCAGCGTGTGCATAGGGCACGGGTGTCAGCTGAACTAATAAATCAGCATTACTGTAGACACAGACACCACATAGGTCACATCTGTACACTGGCTGCGTTTTCCTAACAACATAGTAGACCTCAACTTAAAGTGATAAAATGAAAGCAGATATCAAGGTTATTTTCATTTGTAGTTTCTAACAGTAAACAGAATAAGAACTTGAAAAAATCAGTAGAAATGAAAACTATATACACTTAGATAAATCTCTCTTTCAACAAAGGACATTAATCATCTTTCTTATCACATAAATATAACAGTTCTGATACTAACAAATGACAGAAAGCAGAAGCCAAAAAAAAAAAAAACTAAGCTAAGCATAAAAAGCCATCTCAGACTGAATAAAGACCATTGACAACTAAGCATTAAACCCCCTATTTATTAAATTCAGATAATAGAAAAAAATAAACACTTGTTTATTTTAAAAATATATTTGCTCAGATGACAAGTAGAGGCACATAAAAAATACTCCTGTCAATAGCCATCAAGATAACTTTTACAGTTCTAGGAAGAAAACAATCAAACATCATGACTGATACCATAACCTAGGCAGGAGCTGAATAATATATCTGGCTTCTGCCACAAGGTCCTTTGGCTGTAAGAAAAGTTAAGGGGACAATGTTCCTAGAACCCTTTATCATTTCAGTGAACATTTTTTCTTTTTTAGTGGCAAGGGCTCAAGATCTTACTAAAAAATTGAGGTAGTTTTAGCACTTTCTGTGGGATAAGATGGTTTATAAAAACCACCTAAATACTTGGCTCATTAAGGAAAGTTGTGATTCATAATCAAAGGTCAGGCACCAATAGAGGATGTAATTTTCCTCAATATAGTGTAGAGAAGGGAAATCCAAGTTTAGAAATGATTACAGAAAGCATCTATTAGTCATATTAGGATCTGCCTTATGTAGTTAAGGAATAGAAGGTTGTCTTTGCATAGTAATGTGCTTCAGAAATTGACTATGGTTGACTTGCTTTGCTACTGACCTCTTTATTTTTTTTTAATTTGACATATTAGTATATTACTGTCTTAATAAGCCAAACCAAAAACATATTAAACAGAATTGCTTCACTTCATTAAAAAAAATCTTGCTTAGTTGTAAACAATATGCAATAGGTATTTGATGATATGTACGAATATAAAAATTGGCATCCAAGTATTAGCTCTTGCAAGCTGCAGATTCATATAGAAAAGATCTAATCTGGTCCAGTTCCTCAAGACAAGGGCCACAGTTAAGGAATTTGTCAACTTAGGTCCTAATAAAAACTCCCACTCTACAAAGATATTCATGACAGTACACATTCAAGTATGAGGAAATCTTTTTTTTCAATATTTTATTTATTATTTTTATTTTATGTGTATGCGTGTATTGCCTGCATGTAGGTGAGTGCACCTGTGTCACACAATGCCCAAGGAGGACAGAAGAGACTGATGGATCCCCTGGATCTGGAGCTACAGACAGTTGTTAGCTGCCATGTGGGTGCTGGGATTCGAACCCAGGTCTTCTGCAAGAACAATGTTCTTAACCGCTGAGCCATCTCTCCAGCCCCAATTACGAAGATATCTTAAGCTATATCTGTAGAGATGGCTGCCCTTGTTTGAGAGATATGCTTCTTTTCCCTGCCTTTCCTGATCCTCTATGTATGAAGGGACTTCAGCTACAATAAGACTCTGGCCACCCCCAAGTGGAGGAGGTAGATGTTGCCTTTGTTAGAGAGGAAACAGTATATATAGTCATCCCTTCTTTCTTCCTAGGAGAATTCTCATTCTCATTCCTCTCTACCCTCTTTAGGAAGGAAACCCCAAGTAGAAGACATAGGTCCATCCTCTTCCAATAGTAAATCCATTTAATTAATGCATAATTTTCTTGGTTCATTCAAGTAGCCTCAGTGTAAAACCACAACTATGCATGTCCAGCTCACAGACTGCATGCACTTCAGAGTAGCTGTGAATGCACCAAAACACAAAATTAGATATTTTCTTAAAACATTGGGAGATTTTAAAAAATTGTAACATGACTGCCTGGTTCTTGAGCATAAACTTTGCAGATGACCATGCAGTATCACACTGTCAAAAGAGATGTACCTACCTATAGAATTTTCAGTGACTTTCACATCTACATATGTCGTGATGAGATTTATGCTCTTTAATAAGACAAACTGAGTCATTTGGCTGATATTATAAAAGACAATAAAAACTACGGCAAACAGGTAGATTGATGTAACTAAAGCCACTGGCCTAAAACTCACTCAGTTGTTTCTTTGACATAGCAAGGGTATATTAACCAATGTGACTGTAGCAATCATTTCATAATTAAGTATATGAATCATTTCAGAAGTATACATCAAATCATCAAAAAATATACCTTAAAGTTATAATTTATCAGTTTTACCTTAATGAAGTAGGGGAAAGAAATGAAAGACTTAAATTTTGTTTGTAAGAACTGAAAATGATGATACTTTTCTTTTAATGTGTTTTGTACACATTTGGTAATTAAGTTTCTAAATCATGCTTCATGTAAAATAAACAGTCACAATTAAGAGCATTCCTTTGAAATACAGAAAATAGTAGTCACTTGCTACATCAAAGAAAAAATTGAGTATAAAAATAATGTGCCATTTAAGTAAGATTAGTCAATGTTCAAAGAATTATTTTCTCTGCATTCTGCTTTATATTTTTTTAAAAACGACTTCACTGGACACTTTAAATATTGTGGAAGTTAACAAAGAACTTTGAAATTTCCAGGTTGCGAAGCAGATAAGTGGCAAAAGCACCTGCTCTTCATGCCAGATGCCCTGCTTTGATCCCCAGCAGGACACAGAGTTTGGATATTTATTTGCCAAAATGACTTTATAATGCATTTCATCCTTTTTTTTTTTAATGAAAAGCATTACTAGTGCTTAAATAGTTAAAATTTAAATATAAAGAAAAAATGAGGACTTGCACTGAGATAGGATACACATCTTGCCACATTTTAAAAACACAGCAAAATATAAGATGTGGAAGGTTTCTGTGGCACTGCAAGCTCCATGTGCTCATTTTTATGACACCTTTCTGATTATGCCTAAAAGCAGAAAAGTTTTCAACTTGTAATCATCAATTTTAACAAATTATAACAAGTTGAAACCATTCAACTAGATTGTTTGTAATATAAAAAACAGCTTAGAAATCACCACTGAAAGAATGAGCAGGGGATGATGGAACATACATGTACCTCTAACCAGAATAGAAGATCACTTACATGTAGAGAGGAACAGTATAACTCAGGTACATTCCTTATGCTGTATTGCTGGATACAACACAACTGGAGAGTGCAAATTTCCCCGTGCTTACACTATTCTGTCTTCAGTAAGCTTTGTGACCTTGAACCATATACTTAACATTATATGTAAAAAGGTTATCATCATCAAAAGATGCAGCAGACTGAACAACTTAATCCATTTCCATGTAACATGGGTATCCAATCATAGCCAACAGAAAGAGTAGTAATCAGAAGTTGACTTTTTCTATACATCAAAATTGATGATCCCAAAATAACACAGGCTATTGCCACAGCCCTTGATTGCCTGCCAGAACTTGGAAGGTAAAACCCTACTGCTGAAAATAGGACATACTTCTGACACAGAACTTGGAGCATCCAAGCTAAAACTGAGCTGGATCTGAGCTGGAACTAAACTAGAAGGTCCCCCGCCCCCCGCGAAGACTAACTCCCACAGTATTAGAAGAGACTATGCAAACTGCCAAGAGAGAAAACCAATTAATGATGTAAAGTCTATGAACTACAACAATGACCAGTCCAGCAAATCTCTACTGGTGCAGCAGTGGCACTTTTATCTTGGGGATAATCAACAGCTAACTAATTGGATTTAAGACCCACTCGTTGGGAGGGAATTCATGTTTGATACTGTAGACACAGCCAAATATACATGACTAGAGAGGTCATAGCTCCTAGAAAAAAAAAAAAAAAAACTACTTTTGTCACATTCCTAGACCAGTGTAATTTTTTACTGTACTCAAAATACATATCCTTGTATTACAGACAAGT